AAAAAAAAAAAAAAGATACATTCATGCATTGCATAAGGACAGTTTTAGTCAATGATAGAACACATATACTATGGTAGTCCCCTAAGATAATGGAGCTAAAAAAATTTTTAGCCCCCAGTGACATCATCATAGCACAGCACATTCTCCTGTGTCTGCAGTGATGCTGGTGGAAGCCACCCCACTGCTCTGCCAGTTGTATAAAAGTCTAACACAGACAATTATGCGCAGTACATAATATTTGATAACAGTAATAAACTAGGTTACTGGTTTATGTATTTACTATACTATAGTTTTTTTATCATTATTTTAGAGTATACCCCTTCTGCTTACCAAAAAAAAAAAAAAAAAAAAAATTAATTGTAAATCAGCCTGAGGCAGGTCCTTCAGGAGGTATTCCAGAGGCAGGCATTGTTATCACAGGAGATGACAGCTCCAAGCATATTACTGCCCCTGAAGACCTCCCAGTGGGATGAGACAGGGAGGCAGGAGACAGTAATATTAATGATTCTGACCCTAGGTAGGCCTAGGCTAATGCATGTGTTCAAGTCTTAGTTTTAACAAAAAGTTTAAAAAAAAAAAAAAAGTAATACAAACTTATAGAAGAATAAGGATGGATATAAAGAAAGAATATGGATATTAAAAAAAAAAAATTTGAGTGTAACTTGTAGCTAAGTGGTTAGGGTGCTGGCCACATATACTGGGGCTGGCAAGTTCAAACCTAGGCCAGGCCAGCTAAAACAACAATGACAACTGCAACAAAAAAATAGCCGGGGGGCAGTGCCTGTGGCTTAAAAGAGTAGAGTGCTGGAACCATATGCCAGAAGTGATGGGTTCAAACCCAGCCCAGACCAAAAACTTAAAAAAAAAAAAAAATAGCCGGGCATTGTGTTGGCTGCCTGTAGTCCCAGCTGCTTGGGAGGCTGAGGCAAGAGCATCACTTAAGCACAAGAGTTGGAGGTTGCTATGAGTTGTGACGTCATAGCACTCTATTGAGGACAACACAGTGAGACTGTCTCAAAACAAAAAACAAAAAACAAAAAATTTGTACAGCTCAGTGTTATTACAAAAGAGTATAATATATAAACAATTTTAAAATTTATAAAATAAAGTTACAGTAACCTAAGGTTATTCTTGAAGAAAGGAAAAAATGGTTTTATAAATTTAGGATAGCCTAAGTATAAGGTGACTAGATTTTAACATTGGTAAAGCGGGACACCATGGGGGGGAGGGGCTGACAACACTGCAAACTTTGATAAGCAGTTCTCAATAATCAGTTCTCAACAATTATTTGTTATTATTAAAGTTTAACATTATAAAATTAACAAAAATAATATAAAATGCATATCCTGGCTAAATAGCCACACTGCAGCCGAAAACCGTATATTCCATTCCTATTCTCTGTGTTCCCTAACTTGTTGTGCAGTCTTTCCAAAAATCGGGGCTTTTTTAAAATGCCGCTGGACACAGGACAAAGGACAAATTGTTAAAAATTGGGATTGTCCTGCCAAAATTGGGATGTCTGGTCACCTTACTCTACAACCAAGGGAGGGAGCCCAGGAGAGGATAGGGAGTTTACATTAGCCTTTTCATTTCCAAATGAAGTTACACTAACCTCTTCATCCCCAAATGGAGTTACTTTAACCTTTTCAGCAGCAGAAAATCGTGTATGCCCTTCCCGTTCTCCCACTGTTCCCTAGCTTGTCATGCATTCTTTCCAAAAATCTGGACTTTTTAAAAACGCCGCAGGATGTGAGACAAATTGTTCAAGAGTGGGACATCTGGTCACCTTACCTAAGTATGCAATGTGTCTGAAGTCTACAGTAGTGTCCAGTAATGTCCTAGGCTTTCACATTCACTCACGGACTCACCCAGAACCACTTCTGGGCCAATAAGCTCTATTCACGGTAAGTGCCCTATAGAGGTGTACCACTTTTTACCTTTTATATTGTATTTTTACTCTACCTTTTCTATGTTTAAATAAACAAATACTTACCATTGTCCACAGGATTTGGCACAGTAAAAACAGGCTCCACTATAAAATCAAGGCGTGTGGCAGGCTATACCATCTAGGCTAGTGTGACTGCACTGGATGTTCCGTTCGCACAACTACAAAGTTGACTAACAATGCATTTCTCAGAACTGCCGTCATTAAGCAATGCATGACTGTGTGGAAAACAATCACGTTTTTATATATTTGCAATGAACAACCCAAAGAAGAAAGTAAAAAGCAATCCTATTTACAATAGTATCAAAATGAACAAAATAATAAATTTAGCAAAAGACGTATAAAACTTACACTCTATAAACTATAAAACATTGTTGACAGAAGTTTAAGAAGACCTCAATAAAAGGATTCATAGATTGGAGATTTGATATTGTTAAAATGGCAATCTGCCCCAAATTAATCTATATGTTCAAGGCAGTCCTATCAAAATCTTGGTTATTTTACATAAATTTGCAAGCTGAACCTAAAAAAAAATAAGAAAATTCAACAGACTCAGAGTAACCAAAACAATTTTGGTTGTTTGAGAAAACTGTTGTTTGAGAAATACTGTTTTCTGTTCTCAAAACAATCTTGAAAAGAGGAGAACAAAGTTAAAGAACTTACACTTTACAATCTCAGTGCTTACTACAAAGCTACCATCATCAATCTAGTGTAGTACTAGCATAAGGACAGACAGTCTGTCCTCATTGATCTGTATGTCTGTCCTCATGCTAGTACTACACTAGATTGATGACCATAGCAATAAAATTTACACTCATGGTCAAAATCATTTTCAACAGGGTGTTAAGACCATTTACCAGTAAAAGAATTGTATTCAACACATGATGCCGGGACAAATATTTATCTACATGCAAAAGAATGAAACTGGGTCTTTCCTTCCTATCATACGCAAATTTAACTCAAAATGAAGCACAGACCTAAAGATAAGAGCTAGAATTTATATAAAACTCTCAGACGAATATATGAAGTAAATCTCTGTGAACTTTGATGGTTTTCTGAATATGACACTTACAGCACAAATCAC